TGTGAACTGTTTGAGATGAACGAATGCTGTCGGAACGAGATCGAGTCGAAATTTAGCACTATGCCGTGCGTTTCATTCGAAATGCGGCGCGATACAGCAAAGACATATCTATGGACGCGTGCCATTCGAAGAACGCACACCTTTTCTGCAAATATAATGTTTAAAAATGAAATGAACTTGTAAAATTTATAAAAGATAAAATTATTACGATTTAAAGAAAGTCGAACATGAAGTAATTATCCCGCAGTCTTGCGATAGCGGGCTGAAGATGCGGTTACACGAATAAACACACTTATTCATCATTCGCTCTCACGCAAATATCATACTTTGAAAATATGAACATATTATTTAGATGAGATGCATAGTACAAATTCCTGGGCACATAAGGTATATAATAAGCTAACTACGTCCAGACATCGTTGTTTCATAGTTCACAGTTACTAGCCCAAAATAGCGAGGCGAGCGGGTAGATTTGGTAATTTTGAGTGTTCTCAATTCAACTTGGTATTTGAAAATTTAAAAAAAATAAAAGAATTTCTAATTATTATTTCAATTAGAGTATGAATTGTTACTTGATAGTTTATTGTATCTCGTGAAGGACTTAATAACCGCCGTTGAATTATGTTAGTATTAATTTTACAAAGACGATTATCACCCGCATTGTTACATGTGATATTAGCTTATTGTATTCAGGTACCAAGAATAAAACAGTACATAATCCTTTTCTGGCGATGAAGAGCTGACCAATGATGTAGCGTTCACTGTCAACAAATAAGCTGCTCTCTGATTGGTCCGACTGTTAGGTGCTAGTGCTGTTTAGCCAATCAGGCTCAATCTTGTAAGTACCTGCGCATTGAATACAATTCGAGTCATTATCTTGTGTTCAGTCATTTAAAGTAGCGGAAATTACGGTAACTTTGAAACTCGATCTCTGTGAGGCATCAGCGTGCGTGTAGACACTTGGAATGCGATAAAACTTAATATAAAGTTCTCAATAAATTGGAACATCCGAATGACAGAAATGATTTCATATGAGATGTACCGGTTTGCTCAATAGCATGCATTAACTATCTATTTGTATTCACCGATTGTTAATCTTAATAAACATTCCTTTATTATTAGGGCCGTGGGCGAAATGTCAAACACGTAGCCATCTTTAGAGGCTGAGTGTCTCTCAAAAGGTTTCTCAATCATCATTCTATGTCATTTCCTATAATAGTGGGCGTAGTGCGTCATTATTTTTCACGCGAGCGATTTCAACGAAATGGCGACTAGTAGACCCTTAGTTTTCACATTGCTTTACATATGACATTGGCCCTGTGTATGGCCACTTTTCTAATGTCATTTGTCATTTCAGTGGTTATATTTAAACAAAAAAAATTTCAAAATCAAGGCTGTCGTCACGGTCGTCCGAATTTTTAAATCTCCTATACTAAGAAAATAACTTTTTGATTTGACGTCATGCATTTCAAAGAAACCTACTCATAATTGTTAAGAAAGTTGGTCATGAATCGTTGGCACAACAATGTTCATTGGTTTATTGTGTAAAATCATGAAGCTATTGTCCCATGGCACCATAAAATAGCATTCTTTTTGTGTTTAACAGTCTGTGACGCATTTTGAGAAACTTTTACTAATATTACTAATGCCACCAGCCTACAGTTTGAGATATGGCGTAATATCTCTGCCATAGAAATCTATAAAAGCATCATAATACTGCCAAAATGGCCACAATCCATTAAAATTCAACCATCATTTTCGAAAAAATTAAGCTGGTGACCCGCAACTTTTTTTAAGTCAATATTTTCATATTGCATAGAAATACAATATATTAAAAAATGTATAAATTCATGAGTAGCCTTCTACCTTAATATGATACCAAAACAAAGAAGCCTTAGATATGTCAACTTTTCTAATTTTTGCAATACTAGCGTTGCCAAATTAGCTTCATTTTGTTTGTGTGTTTTTTTATTAAAAAAAAGAGATAAATCACACTTTCTAAATTGTATGACTAGACTGAAAATATAATACTCGTCAAATGCAGAAAAGTGCAAATTACATTTTTTGTCACTTTTTGTGTTCACTAGTTCACCAAAAGATATGCACTCCGCCATCTTGTTTCTCCGGCAAAGGATTATCGGTAAAGTCAAATCTGTTGTGCAAAAACAAGGAAATGATTTCATGTATAACTTCTAAAGTAGAACTTCAAAATGGTTTAGAACATAGTAGCATACTGTTATCAACTATACATATAAACTGTTTTTCATGGCAACAAAGTGAAAAAAAAAATATTTTTTCATTTTTATACTAAATTCTCAATTCTTATTATATTTTATACGATTCATAGATGAGGAAAACTTATACATGTTATATAAAAATGTTGAGCGTAAAAGGGGGACAAATAAATAATTATATTTTCAACAACCAAAAATAAACATTTATTTGAACTAATTCGCATCCGTATTTTAAGTTGTGAATGAAATCATGTGTTTGACTTGCCGGAAAATCAAAATGGTGGTCAAGGAATTTAAAAGAAAAAAGTAATATAGAAAAGGTGTAAATTGCATTCCTCTGTATTTGTTGAGCTCTGTCTTGGGAGTATCATGCAGCCAGCCTTGACTTCTTATCTTTTAAATTTGTGAAATGTTGGATAATCGACTCAAAGTGTAAAATAGTCTGGCTTTTAAAGTTGTTAGTATGTCGTCTATGAGGTGTCTAATTGTAGTAGGAGACCTGTATTTACGAAAAATGTCAGCGATGGCCGCCGAGATCTCGTCGTGAGCGAGAGAACAACGAGACTTGTTTTTGCTTCTCGAAAAATGTTTCATTCTCTTTCATCATTGCGTCCACTGTTCGATTACCATGGTTACATAGGTCAGAAGAACAGCGGACATGGTGGCGGAGGAGAATGTGACGCTGTTTGAGGGACAAAAACAAGTCTCGTAACCATTTCACTCTAAACGAGACCTCGGCGGCCATCGCTTCTTAGGTCTATTGTGAAAGAATATCTGAAATACTCCGATGGGCCGAGTATTGATAACAATAATGAAATAGTGTTAATGTGATTGTTGAAACTTTGGGATTTTGGTGATTTTATTTATGATGGTGGTTATGCTGTTTATGTACATGTCAATTACTTTTGTCGAATCCCACGTCTAGTTTTGACCAAAAAATTTCACACGTCGCCTGGGACCAATATCGAACACTGCGCGTCACGACGGCGATCGTTCTTTGGGGTTTATTGAAAATGGTGCTATATATACGAGTCACGTTGCTACAATAATAGAATGTGATGGAATGCCTCTGTCTGATATCGTGTGTGGTGAAACAATTGTCATATATCTGAGAAATACGTGAAAATAAAACCTATTTAAAAGTTAATGCTGTGCTCGTATATATTAATCCGTTAAGCGCTATACTTAGTATTAATATACAGTTTTTGATAATCGTTGTCACTTTTCAAAATAGCGAGACTTCTCAAGCAATGGCTCTTTATCGATAGCATAGAAGACACATTTTGTATAAGCATTTCTCCATAATGTCTTATGTTTAATAGACCATTTTCCGTTCACTGCGAGAATCACGCGTTATGCGTGAAATCGTACGTAAAAACAGGACAAACAAAGGTCATAGCGTCGTAGTGGCGTCAAACATCGCGTGGGATTCGACAAACGCGAAAGTATTTTGGGGACATTTCTATGCTTAATAATGTGCTGTCCACATTTGATGATAGACAATTTCGATTAAGTAAGGGTATTCGGAAGCAATATTTCTCTGTCGAAGATCGGCCGGTCAATGTAAGCTACGAAATAAAGAAATTCTAGTTCAAAATCAAATCGTTCGATATTTGCGGCAGACGTTCGACGCGCGTCTTTCATGCATCTCGCGAGATCTCGCACTTGTACGGAAAATCACCTATTTAATTAATATATTTTTTGACCGAATGGCTACAATACTTGGTAGCATCATAGACCCTCTAGTAGTCTACTGGAGGGTCTATGGTAGCATTTTGTATGAGAAAAACATTAAAAAAATTAAAATTTCAAAAGACTAATAATCAAAAGATTTTGTTTGGTAGATTAACGAAGCAGAAGATTACATAAGCCCTTTCACGTGACCTAAAATTACGTAATGTTTTGGACTGAGGCGAACATCTAAGTGCCATCAGAAGTTGCGCTTGCAACTTAAGCATAAAAAGCCAGGGGAGTCTTCAGTAAAATTTGATATCGAAAACTCGACTGGAAAAAAACACGCGAAATCAATTCCCTCAATACTAGTAGCGTATGTTCCGTCAGCATTGAACATGCTTTTTACGTGTGTGTGAATTAGATTAGGATTGAACTGATAATTTAGCGCTTAGACTTTTATCGTTTATTCAGGGTATATAAATCCAATAAAAAAAAAAAAAACGTGTACGCCATCTTGAACTTGTGACAATTGCAAAAAAAATAACTGGGTTTAGATGATGTCTTTAGCAAAGATAACATTCTCCGAAAATAAAACATATGAAAAAGAATTTAATTGTTTTTGGTTGCATTTGTTCTCACCACATTGACTTAACCTGTACCCAGAATGCATCGGGAAAGTGATGGATACGAAGTCAATTTCTTCACAAAAGGCAGCAAGATAAATAAATTAAAACCATTATATAATCTACTGTATTGCAATTAGTGTTTTATTGGGATCAGTGTCTTAAATGAAAGTAAAGAACAACGAAATCAACTGAAAATTAAAATATTTTGTTCCCATGACTACAAGTGACGCAAACAGCGTGTCCGTTACCAGGAAACGCGACGGCATCCCGCAGTGTGGTTGAAAATAAAGAACGCGTGCAGTTGGCAGTATTAATTCATATATCAGCGTAATAGGGTCATTTCCTAATTTCATAGGGAACTGTATTAACAGAGACCTGCTACGTGTATTGTACTACGTATAAGTTATAAAGCTAAAACTATAAAAGCCGTCTTATGAGAAGGGACCCCCACTCAGCCACCGACAGCCGCGACTATCAGAACCGTCTTATCGTCTCCGCGACAGAATTCGCCAGAGTTAGGCTCAACGAGGGCCGAGGAGCATTCATGTTCGAATTCCAACACAGCACAAAATCTATCTTGAGCTTGAACGATTTCTCGCCGCCGCAGTTTCCAGAATATCATCAAGAAAAAGTATATTTTTGATAAAAGAATAAATCACCGTGACTTAGGACTAGGACATATAAATAAAGATGCTGACCGCGAAGAAAGACATGACTTTTAGCAACGTAAGTAACTCTTTGAATTCTTATCGCGAAATTGTTAAAATAAAATAAAAATATCGGGAGAATATCTCCCTATCAGGAGATGTTCACTTATCTTCTCTATATGAAATATGATCAAGGTGAATTGTTTTGGATTATTGGTTACACATCTGAAAATCAAAAGTCAAGTTTGCTGTTATTGCACGGGCAACGTTAACGTAAATTGTGCATGCTCGTGTTGTTAAAACAGTTGTCTTCCGTGTGTCTTCGAAGTCCGACCTGATGAATTGACCAGATTTGAAAATAGAGGGAATGTTCATCCTTGTATAAGGGTGACATACATGGTTTGATTGTACGTCCATTGTACGCTTTGCAACTAATTTGCAAGGCGAAGTAACATTCGAGTAAAATCGTTATTCGAATGTCAACGACAATTCACTTTGATGGCGTAACTCGTCGAGATTCTTCATATTCGTAACTGCGTAGTTGTCTGATCAGTGTTTCATGTAAAGTCCGGTACAGTTCTATCGGTTTCAGTTTCTACTTTATGAGGTTGTTTTTTTCAGTCAACATTCAAGACTTTTTGCATATTTTTGACTCTGAAATTCTCAGAATCTTAACAAGGGTATTCCCCATGTCTGATGTTTTAATTTTCCGCTCTATTCTTTGAATTATGGGTCTAGATATTCGCATTTTAGACCATTGTCCGAAAGAGTGAAGTAAAATTCCCCGATACGCACCGTAAAATTACAATAACTGTGTTGCTTCGGAAACATGATCATGACTCACGTCTCTCAAAAAACGAAAGATTTGGGGGTGAAGTTTTTTTCTCATTGTTTATTCCATGGTGTATGTCAAGACTGTTTTATTACACATGTGCGATAGAATACTTTTTTGTATTCATTAGATTTATTAAACTATTTTTACTTTTGAAGAAACGGTCCGTTTTTACATATGTACTTTAAGTATCTAATTGACCCGGACTCGGATACATTGGACAATAATACGCGATATATTCAGTATTGCGGTGACTGATTAATGATTAATCATGTAGCGATGAATTAATGACTAATTGCTGTTTGAGAATCATTCAATGAAACAGGTGCGACTTTAACTTTGGGTGATCTTGGTTAAAGGGCGGTGGTCGTCGCGTCGCGTCCTGTACTGATATGGGACTAATAGCCACGTATACAACGCGTGTAAAATACATTGTATTTTACGCGGAATTCGGGCACGCGCTAGTGCTCGTGTTCTTCCGGGCCTGGCTGATATTGCATTTTTTTTTTACTGTATTGGCAATATAATATGACGATAGATATGCAACCCGTGTCATGTAGTCTCATGATGGATTTGGTTTATTTGACAAAATGCTCTTTACGCTCTACACGGTCAGCACTTGCAATAATTGATACTAAAATCACATATGGGGAATGCGCCTGGCGCAAAAATATTTATATTAATTATAATTAAATAGGTAATTTTGTCATCACTGCCATAAAACAATGTCTCCCAACATAATAAGTTAATAAAAGAAAATTCCAATTTAAATCAATCGGAACCCTGTTAATGTCCCGTCTGAGACTAAACAATGGAGGCCTCTATTGTAAAAAAAAAAACAAATTTCCTGTTATTTTCTTTTTGTCCAAAAGCATAAATTAAGGAAAAGTAATAACAAAAAGTGAATGATCTACAGCAATGAGAGAAATGTAACATTTACAGCGCCTTATTTGACGGGTAATACGAATGTGCGACATGTTTATTGTCGGAGTTGAGTCCAAATGTGCAACTTATTTCGTATTTTGTCAGTAATTTGATCAAGACAAGATTTGTAGACAAAATTAACAAAGACATTATGGAAAAAAATTGCAAATGTTTCGCTAAAAATGGGGTACGAGGCTTGTGGCGTTCGAAGGGTTAAAAGCATTGGCGTGAATAGAAACGCGCAGACGATAATTGCGATATTGAAATGAAATACGGAAACAATCTACTGAACAGAAATCGACAATACGTGATAGTAGTTCTGGTTGGTTAGGCGTGGTATCATGTGACCGGGCATTCGTGACGTCAGTGTTTGTAGTGAAGTGGCAAACTTCAGTCGCAATTAAGTGAGAAAATTGGTGACGTTATAAGTGTGGTAGACTTCAAGAAGTGCTGGATTAATTGAAATTGGCGGCTACGTCACAAAGCGTTAAACACGTGTTGATTTCAGTGCGATTCATTAGGATATTTTATTATGTTGAAGGGTGTTGTCGTCGGGGCGCGTTGTGATCGATATGCGACGTATACAACGCCTGTAAAATATATTGTCTGTTTAAGTTAAAGTTAGAAGCATACTCATATAAGTATATTGACTTAAAAAAAGTTGGGGGTCACCAGCCTTATTTTCGAAAAATTGATGGTTGTATTTTAGTGGAAAGTCGCCATTTTGGCAGTATTATTATGCTTTTACCATAGGTTACTATGGCAGAGATATTACTCAATTTCTCAAAATCTAGCCTGGTGATATAAGCTGAGAAAATCATATATTGTTAATGATGGAGTACTTTTAGTTGTTCTGAATTATTTCAAAAATTTAGATTTTAAAAACATGGAATTGTTCTAAAAATAGCAATTTTCAAGAAATATTAGGACACGTTTCTCAAAAAGCTTAACTATAACGCACAAAATAATGATATTTCAATTTACCATGGGGTATTAGCTTCATGATTGTACATAACAAACTAATGAACATTGTCATGCGATTTATGACCAATTTTGTCATTGGCATGGGAATGTTATGAGTAGGCTTCTACCATAAACTGTTGTTTGATGTTGTATATATACAGATACATTGCACTACGATTGATCATGGACTAAAAACACCCTCCTTGTAGCACATTCCAGAGTATTCGTTCAACTAAAAAGTGAAATTTTCTCAGACAGACTCTCCACACAATGCTAAAATACTACATTATAACTCTTCTCATTTCTAGAACCTAGATTTTAAAAATAATTTCATGGCTAAAACTTATTGTATAACTTGTTTCCACCCTCAACACAGTATTTATTTGATAATTTTTTTTATTTTAACAGCGTTATAACAACCGAAACTTGGTGATAAGCCGGCGAGATTCGTTCAACGACTGCGTTTCCCATTCGACCACACCAGTCATATTCTCTTTGAAGAATGAAGTTGGCGGACTGGCTAGGGCACTGAAGGTGTTTAAGGTGAGTCTCCATTGGTGGATGGGTGAGCGGATGGACTGGTGAGTCGTGCGAGTCAGAGCGTTGCCGATATTTAAAGGGCG